TAATAATAATAATAATAATAATAATAATAATAATAATAATAATAATAATAATAACAATAATAACGTCAAATCTCTTTCTATAAAAAATTGTCAAAAATATGTTCCTATTTTCCAGCTACAATCTACATTAATACGAAAGTTTCACTTTGATGAGTTGCTTAGTGTTTGAGATATGCCTATCTGATTTGCGACGTTTTGCTCTAAATGGTCCATAATCGAGACCAAAATACTGTACAATCACTATACTTTTCGAACGCCTTTTACTGTATCAGTTGTACGCCTGCCAATTCCTGACATGTTCTTTTTGCTGGCAAGTTTTACTCTTATCTAACAAACAAAATTGGTGTTGAAATGGAAATATTTTGGAAATAGAAATATGGGGATTTGGTTTTTAGCGTCACATGTTTAAATGTAAAGATGAATTAAAAATTTTCCCATATGAAATGTCCCCATATCCATACCTTACTTTGCATCGTTGACACACTTCTTTATTAAAACATGACAAACTATTCTGCCAATTGTAATTGTTATCTATTGATCCATTTTCGAGATATTTAGGTCTAGGACATTTTCGCCCTCAAATGAACAGCCAAATTTGAATTGTCTCCAACACTTCATAATTCTTCCTTTTTCCTTGGTTAAGCTTTAACGTAGGCCTAAGTTTCATTCAGATAGGTTGATTATTTTTTGAAATATCTGGTCTGGGACGTTTACTTTTAAACCTCATATCCACACCCTACTCCAAATGGTCACCAGAATGTATTAAAACATTTCTTCATCGAAACATGACAAAGTATTCTGGTAGTGTCATTTAGAGCCATTGGTTATTTTTAGAGATACTTAGGTCTGGGACCGTAGGATTTTAAATGACCCTCAAATTCACCCCCGAATTTGGATCGTGACCAACGCTTGAAAATTTCTTCCTTGTAACTTGTTAAAGCTTTCACGAAAGTTTCATTCATATCAGTTGATTCGTTTTTTGAGATATCTTGGCTAGGACGTTTGCTCTAAAATTCCTTCAAATGGCCCTCACATCACACCCTATTCAGGACCTTTTTGAATAATTGAATCATTTCTTCATTGGATTATACTTAACACTCCCTGTAATTATCAGTTATGTCTGAGCAGCCGTTTTTTTTGTTTTTTTTTTTTGTTTTTTTTTTTTTTTAAATTGCTTTTAACATACATAAAACAACATAATATAATATAATGCAATATTACAATACACAATCTCATCTTCTAAAAAAATTATTAGCATTACAAAATCCAAAACCAATATAATATACAGTACTGTAATATAAAGTGAAATTAAAATTAAGTAAAAATTTAACTAATATATATATATATATATACATATATATATATATACATATATATATATATACACATACACACATACATATATATATATATATATATACATACACACACATATACACACATATATACATATACACACACATACACATACATATATATACTGTATACACACACACATGAACATATATAAATAATAAATAAATTAATAAATTAAAATAAAATTACACACAGAGCCGTTTTTGAGGTATGTCGTATACAAAAACAAAACAAAAAAAATGAAATAATAATAATAGCAATAACAACAACAACAACAATAATAATAATAATAATAATAATACAGTAATAATAATAATAATACAGTAATAATAATAATAATAATAATAATAATAGCAATAATAATAATAATAATAATAATAATAATAATAATAATAATAATAATAATAATAATAATAATAATAATAATAATAATATTACAGAAATGATGATGATGTGGTTGTGATGATGGTGATAATAATAATAACAACAACAAAGATTTTCTTTTAATTTTTTAACATAAAATTTAGAAAATAATAAATCATTGCATATTCTATAATACCATACGTATTTTGGTGGTTGACATAATACTATAAGATTATTTTGTTGTTTTCTATTTGTTTCAGGCCGGTTTGGCAAAGCAAGTAAGTTATAAATTCGAATTCCAAATCCCAGCTCAGTGTATATTGGTGTCGGCAGCCGAAGAGATTCTAATAGACTACGGTGACGTGATGACACGTCGCTTGATGGACGATCCGCCCAGACTGCCACCGACACGGGAAAGTGCTTATACCGTGTGTTTGTGCATTTTGGTTATCGTTCAGCCATACTGTATCTTACAGTCTGTAATAATATATGTATCATTCTATTTCAGATTATTTGGCACAAATTCTCCTTGGTAAGTAGCAAAATTTCAAATTTTCTTAATTTCTCCTTCATTCCTGATGATGACATAATTAATGTCAAATTGTTGAATCAGATGGCGTGCATTTCAATACTTGGAGTAGTATGTATTGTATATGTCTCCCTTCCTTTAATTAAAGACCACTTCTGGGACCGGGAGTTTCATGGTCTTTAGCAGCTTTCATCTCTAATTAGAATAATACAATTAAAAGACATTTGTTAATCACAGAAAAGTAGTCTTTACTTGGAGGTGGTATTTAATTTCAGTGGTCTTTCATTATCTGAGATTAATCAGTGGACCTTTCTTTTTTAATTTCTCCTCGTCTTAAACTTTTACCTTACCACACCGCCGCACACAATTTTTCGTATTAAAATCCACAATCTACTACCATTCACTTGTTTTATTTTTACATTTTTTAAGGCCCATAAAAGAGCTGTATTCCGTCCATAAAGTTACTACGTAAATAGAGCGTCGTGTGACGGTGTGTCGTTCTATCAAATATAGTAGCGAACAATAGCAGGTCCCATCGAGATTCACAATCTACTACCATTCACTTGTTTTATTTTTACATTTTTTAAGGCCCATAAAAGAGCTGTATTCCGTCCATAAAGTTACTGCGTAAATAGAGCGTCGTGTGACGGTGTGTCGTTCTATCAAATATAGTAGCGAACAATAGCAGGTCCCATCGAGATGTACAGAGCAGCTGATCAGATCAGGCTGACATAGATTTAAACATAGCACATGCGCAAACTATGTTCTCTAAGGATGGTTATGAATAATTAATGTGATTTTGCTTTACCATCCTATGGAAAATAAATTTTCCCGCCGCACGTGAACACCTGACAAAGGTAGTTGGTACGCTATTTGGCTCAACTAAAGTTCATTCTACTAAAGACCCCTATTTAGGGGACGCATTCGGGGCAGAAAAAAGTGTCCCCTTAATAGGGGTGGTACCCATATTCAGGGAACACTAACCCAAAAACATGAAACTGTCCCTTTATAGTGGTTTTTGCCATGTTTTCGTATAATGATGACACAGATTCTTTATCATTTTGCTTTAATTTGCAATTCAAAAAATAATTCATTTAAGATATGAAATTAACAGACATGTAATTAAAGCTAAAAAAGTTGTATATGTCCCCTATTGTTTCTTTGATTCGAGTGCAATGTTGATGACCAAATATTCTTTTTTTTTTAAATATTGAACTTTCTATTGGATGCACAAGCTGGAATAGGCCTATTAATAGATTTTAACAACTTAGAAATCAGTGTGCAGGCTGTACGGTTTAGATCCTATATGAAAATACACAAAACAAGAAATCTCCATTGTTTAGTCAAAATTTACAAGATTGTATATATACGAAGTAACACATGCACTAGGCATATACCAATGTCCATTCTAAGTATGGACAACTTTTTGATTTGATGTTAAGTTTATTGCTCAACAGGTGTCAAAATATAAATTTGAATGATTTTTCCCCTTATTTTGTGACTACTGTAGTTTTTTAAATACAATAACAAAAAAGTGACCCCTTAAAAGTGGTTAAATTGTATTTAAAAGATAACTTCTTTTCACGGAAGTGTCCCCTTAATAGGGGTGTTTCCTGAATAGAGTTGTCCAAAAGGAAGGGTTCCGACGACCTCGTCGTGGCGTCGCACGACTATGGGGTCCAGGCGTGTCCGACTTGGATGCTCCACCACTGGTCACGGGGTAAATGGATAGATGACGACCACTAATAAAACAATGGCGCTGGTTTCAGACCCTACTCTTGATTGAGTTTGTACAACCACGTTTTCTCTGATAATGACTTAAAACAGAAGTACACAACATGCGGCTTGTGCGTGCACATTAAAGAATATTTGTATCTTTCGATTACCCCAAGGCTGGTTCAAGTTCAGCCCCTGCCGTTAAACAATGCGAACGTGAAGCTACCGTACTAAAAGCACCTCTCCACGGCTTCTACCGTACACGCACTTACGCACAATAATGCTGGAAGCAAGGCCTATGGGTTATTATCCTAACTTATCATAAAATATGCATTATAATTTTTTTCTTTAAACTTCAGCTCTCGAATCACCTGTTTCTAATTGTGAAGCAACGGTTTCAGACGTGACTGGTAACGAAGAGGATAATGAAATTGAGGACGCTGTCGAAGAGGTAAACGAGCCTGATATCGCGGATGAACACCACGAAACTGGTAAGTATAATCAAAGACTATAATATAGTGTACAGTCTTTTGTATAATCTTAAATTTCACAGACACACCCGCTTCCGTTGTAACACAGACCTCGACTCGGCTTTATAATTCATCTGAAAAGTATTAAAACGGGAATTATTATAATAGGTGATACTGTACACTTTTAAAAAAATAAGAACCAGTAAAATTTTGCATAGGCTCAGTGTTCTTATTTTTTTTGGCCGATTTGAGGCTCAAAATGTTCTTATCTTGTTCTTACTTTACACACTTCTCAAAGATAGAAAATTATTACTGTACAGCGGTATATTGCTGTAACTGTATATTTTAAATAAAAATAGATGAGCCGTACTAGTCTGATGTAATATAAAATAAAACTGTGCACTGTGTGCACGAAAGCTAGTGTAGGCCTACTGTCAAATAAACTAGTCTTGAAGGTACTAAATGTTTCTTGAGTTTATTTATTGTTTTGTATATTTTAAGGTAAACACACCTCAGTTCTGCACATTAGGTACAGATAAGATTTGTTGCTTTTTCTGTTACAAAAAAAAATAAATAAATAAAAACCTCTTAACATTTTACCTCAGCCTCAATTTTGTCCTTAATTTTCAAGCAATTTCAGCCTCAGTGTTCTTATAAAATACGTTCTTATAAAATCAAAACTGTTATGATTAGAGACTTAATTGTAATTTGCGCTATATATAAAAACTGATTATTATTATTATTATTATTATTATTATTATTATTATAATTATTAGTATTATTATTATAACTATATGCACATATAGAATGTATGATATTGAAGATATAATAATATTGAAAAATACAAAAAATAAAAATAAAAATAATTTTTGAAATTAAATTAAAACGCAAAAAACGCAACGAAGTAACATACAAATTATCAACTTGAACATATAAATATTTACCCATAACAAAGAACTTAAATAGCAAAAGAATGAGCTGTTTCGCGTACTTACATTAAAATTGATGAAACATCCGCCCTCCCGCGAATGGGATAAAATTTGACCATTTTACTATGTGGAGAAACTACAGGAAACAAATGAACCAGAGCGACGCCTTTATTGATGTTTATTATTTCTATATAGCGCCGCCGCGCGGATGGGGTAAGATTGCTCTCCGTGTACCCACAATGCCTTTGAAACGGATGTTCCGCTATATTGGGAAGCTGCTCTATCTTCTGCTATTTATTATCTTTGCCCATAATTAATTAAAAAGCTAAAAAAATGATAGAAACACTAGTCACTGGAAGAGTTTTACTGCTTTTATTAAAACCATCCAGTATAAAAATTAGGGAACACATTTAATTCATTCAATAATTTCCTAGGCTCAAGTTAATAATTACGGTAGTAGGCCTATGTTACAGCAAAATGAGCAAGTTAATTTCAAAATTATTATTTATGATCTTTTGTCATTTTCAGGGGACAATACAACTTTAACGACTGCATGATAAATAATATCAATGATGATAATAATAATAATAATAATATAATTTAAAAATTAATAACATTAATGATAAAAATAAGAATAACAGTAACAGTAACAATAATAATAATAATAATAATACTATACAAATTATTTTGATCTTAATTATCACCACTTAAAAAATAATTATCATCATCATCATCCTGAAATACTATTATACTTTCAGCAATATTACTATGTTATTAATGACCGTAACATTAATTATGGTATTTATAAAATAAGCAGTAGCGAATATTAAGTAATATTATTATTTGTATGTTTCATGTCTTATTTCATCAACATCAAAATCACCAATTTCATTATTGTCATCATCACGCGTCTTCCTAATTATATGATTTGATATTAATATATATATTTTTTTTTTATTATTGTCACAGTCATTAGTGATGATGTGACAAGTTTACCGCTTTACATAAAGTACGGCGATAACGAAAGCTTCCGAAGTCTAACATTCTGAACTATTAATTTCTACCGTACTCATTATCTCCTATGTATATTTATATTATCATTGCTATTACCATTATCATCGTCGGTATTATTACTATCATGATTATTATCATTTTATAATAATAATAATAATAATAATTATAATTATAATTATTATTATTATTTTATTATAATAATAATAATAATAATAATAATAATAATAATAATAATTATTATTATTATTATTTTATAATTATAACTATTATTATAACTATTAATATTATCATCACTACCATCATCATTATCAGGAGCGGATCCAGAATTTCTAGTGGCAGAACGTGGGGGGTGGGAGCACGTGTCCCCGTGCCTCTACTGGATCCGCCCCTGATTATTAATATTGTTTGTGTTTGTTAGATGATGAGGGACAAGAACACGTAGACCAGAACCAGAATACTGAACAAGATGGAGAAGACGAAGAAGAAACTGAAGAAACCGAACGAGACCCAGAGTGTTATACCAGAGAAGATGGTGGAGATTACTTTGGCACTATTTCCGTCACAGAATCTGGACTTACGTGTCAGCGTTGGTCGGAACGTACACCTCACCGACCTGTGAAAAAGTACAGAGGGTACGGAAATAATATATTGTTTCCTGCTTACTTTGGCGATCACAACTACTGTCGAACACTGGGTAATACAGCACCAGTAACACCACGACAAAGTAGTAGAAGATCTAGGCCTTGGTGTCATACTATGGATCCAGAAGTACGCTGGGAGTACTGTGATGTCCCTGCACCTTCAGAGTCATGCTGATCCAGACCGGCTATGGCAGATGACGATGTTCACCAGTAGGCCTACATACGTAGCTGGTCTAGCAAATTGAGAACTAACAAATAAAATTCTTCAGATTAATTACTTTTAGATTAATGCTTCCATAGGTCAAACTAGTGGGCCTATACTTGTGTGAGGATAACACTTTCATGTCTGAAATGTACACTTTTTTTTCTTATAAGAACCAGTAAAATTTTGCCCAGGCTCAGTGTTCTTATTTTTTGGCCAATTTCAGGCTCAAAATGTTTTTAATTTGTTCTTATTTTACACACTTTTCAAACATAAAAAATTATTATTGTACAGCAAAAATGGGCCCTGAAAAAATGCCCTGGAAAAATTGCCCCAGAAAAAAGGCCTGATAAAAATGGCCCCAAATGACAGTACACCTGATTATAGGGGTATTACATAGTCACACCTACATTACTGCACATAAGGTGCAGATATAATTTTTTTTTGGTTTTTCAAAAACCTCATTTGACATTTTACCACAATTTGTTCTTATTTTGTTCTTATTTTTTAAAGCAATTTCAGCCTCAGTGTTCTTATAAAATGTGTTCTTATAAAAAAAAAAGTGTAGCCTAATTGGGTACCCTACATTATATAATAATTAGTTGATTCAATCTGATTGGCTATTTGATTGTTAACAGTGACTCTAAGTAGAATTAGACACTAAGTAGAAATATTTCGGTCAGCTTCGGCAATCGGCAAGTGTGTTTTTTTTCAGTCTAGAGTACTTTATTGACATGAAATAATCATAACTGCAACATTAAGAACATCAATGGACCTTTTCGCCAAGTCTTGCCTCTTGGATATTCAAGTTCCTAAGGTCCAACCTTGGGTCTCACAAAAAGACTGCGTAAATATGTGGGTTTGAGGAACGTGTGCGGGTGTGCGTAAGTTTAATGACATTCCAGAACAATCACGTATTGTTTCCAGCAAATCACTCCTGTGACAATCAGCAATAAACAGCTACTAAAATATACGTCATGCACCTCTAGACTAAAATAAAGATCATTACACGTTCGAATAGCCGTAAGTTGCAACAAATGAAATATTTTCTTACCTTGCATCTTGCAATAAAAATCTTCAAAAAGCATACATAACTGTCGGTTGTTTTTAAGTAAGAAATCTTCAAGTACCCCACAATTGTATTTTCTCAATGATTGTTTTGTTGCTGTTTCTTAAATTATTCGGTATGTGTGTTACATTACAAGAGCTATCTCGCAAAATAAGGTGATATGGGGTGATTTTTATGTACTTGCTTCGAGCATTTTCATGGTGTGGGGCGGGGGGGGGGTGCGACTGAAAAGCGCCATAATCTTAAATCATGGAAGTTACATCGGATTAAAAACAATTTTTTTAAATTTCGTAATTTCAACTGCGAAGTCACATATAAACCGACATCCATTAGGCTTGCACTATTGTCATCTTTTTTATAATAATAATTCGCTAAAGTCGTTATTTCTTCATAGTACTGAATATGCAGTAAAATAATGTTATTAGGCTTATAACACATTTCCTTTCGGTTACGAAGTACATTTGTACCCCATGATTGAGTTCACATACTCGGTGCTGCTGCCGTATCGGCTTACTAGGCAACCCATCAGGTACCCATTTATACTCCTGGATAGCAAGAAGCTCAAGGACACCTGGAAAATACATACAGCTGAGGATTGAAACCTCGACCGTGAGGTTTGAAAACTACCAAACTACTTCTATATAGCCATAAGTAAAATGGAATACTCAACCAATATTTAATAATTGTAATTTATAAAACTTTAAAAAAAAAAGTCAGCGTAAGCTAGGAGTTCTACGCCATGTTATGCTTTTATATATGCTATTAATTTTCTGTACGACATGCACAGCTGAAACTATGATTTATTTATTTATTTATTTATTTAAAACATCTTTAGGCAGGATAACATATACAGGCGAGATCTTACCGCTGTTTTACAATACCGTATGGTCCTGCAAACACATATTACAATAACAACAACAAAAGTAACCATCACACTACAACAAAATAAACAACAGTTAAAACTTTGGTGGAAAACTATCCCCCGCCGGACACCAACCCGGTACTTCTGAGTCAAGGCTTCGGGGCAAGGAATTACAGCTCAAGGTTATGCTCAACTGCAACTTAACTACAATATGGTAAAAACTATCCCCCGCCGGACACCAACCCGGTATTTCTGAGTCAAGGTTTCGGGGCCGGGATTACCAGGTAGGACAAATACTGTACGATTACTTAAATAGATAAAAATGGTAGAAACTATCCCCCGCCGGACACCATCCCGGTATTTCTGAGTCAAGGTTTCGGGGCTGTCACAACTTTTATCTTAACTACAAACCTAACTAAACAATGGTAGAACCTATCCCCCGCCGGACACCATCCCGGTACTTCTGAGTCCAAGTTTCGGGGCCGGGAATAAATGTTAAAAGTATAGACCAAGAAAATATAAAAGGAAATGAATTGTGAAATCAGAAAAAGTGTTATAAGTAATTTTGAATAAATTAAGAGATTGACATTCTTGAATTCTGATTGGGATTCAGATATGGTTTATTGCATGTTATTTCCATAACATTGGTGAATTGCCTGTGTATCAAATGTTGGATTGGAGACTATAATTTAATTATTGTCATTGTTACTATTACTTCTATTAATACTATTATTATACTTTTATTACCACAATAGCTATTATTAAGCATATAACTATGGTACCAATTACCATTATTACAATTATTTATATCATTATTATAATCATCCTCATCATCGTCGTCGTCGTCGTCATCATCTTCGTCGTCGTCGTCGTCGTCGTCCTCATCATCATCATCATCATCATCATCATCATCATCATCATCATCATCATTATTGGCTCCTATACCGTAAAGCAACAGGAACCTTTGCAATCATCCGTGTGTGTATGCGTCCGTGCGTATGTGACGCTGACGTCATCAAATTTCTCTCTTTGCGGTAAATTTACCCCATTTATTCATCCGTGACATACCGGTACATTTATTCATTTTTAATCATAGTCAAAGACGTATGCCAAGGAGGTACGGTATGCCCCTTACATAACCATTGTATGAAATGTTCAGTCTTAACAATCTGTATATATTTACAGCTTGACAATCGTAGCATTTTTAACCTTTAAAAAGCAGCATCAGTCATCCTGTACATATTATATAATAGTATGAACTAAATTAGTTACTGATCTATGTAATATAGACATATCTTTTTGTGAAGTTATCTAACCTTTTTTTTTTAAATATTCATTATATGACCTGATGTTACTATCAAACAAAATAGTGAATAATTCTATTCTTCCGATCACAACTTTCAAATTTCTTTTGCATTAATCATAAACCATGTGTCTTGACATAGGGCCTAGGCCTACTTTTAAGTACCAAAATTAACATAATGTTAATGCTGTTTTTTTGTTTTGTTTTTTGTTTTTTGATTACATGAACTTATTCGATTTTTTATATAAACATAATGACTTATTGTAAAGTTTGAAAACAAGTAAAACACATGAAATTTATTACCACTTTAACCAAGAAAATTTGTTCATGGATTTGACGCCTGTCCTAGTAAATTTACTATCACTCGTGTAATTAGTTCAAGTTTTTTTATTCACCAGTATTGTTTACATCATGAGTGAAATTGATGATAATAATTGAGAACAGTAAAAAAACGGCAGGGAAAAACCAAAAAATCACAGCTCAGGAATTATGGTTACCCTTTTTGAGAACTTCATTCCATAACAATGGACATTGTGTCCTTATTGTATGTCTAGCAAGATCAGGGTTAAAAGTATGGGGTCGGAAAAAATAGCAAAACTGTAAGGTTTTTATTGAAAAAATTAAACATAAATATAGCTTTACACAAACTGTGGATATCTGTTTAACGTATTAAATTGAGCGAATAAACATGCACTGATGAAGACGATGAGCATTAGAGCACAATCTGATGAAATGTTTCTGCTTGAGATGAATGGATCGAAGCTTAGTATTGTTGGAGTCGGCCCAAATAATATTACAGTAATATAGATGAGGAAAACCTAAAGTGGAATACAATAAAAATGAAGCATAATTTGGAAGTGTTTCCTTGAGCCTGAAAAAAACCTCTATATTTAAACATGACATTAAGAAGACAATTTGTATAACAGGTCCAAGAAAGGCACTTGTCAATTAAAACACCAAGATACTTAGTTAGAGAAACTTGAGATGTAATAACATTGTCAATATTGATTTCAAAATCAGGATAAGTAAAAATGTGTTACAACCAGCCGAAATTGGTCAAACACCTTTTGCGCATGACCAGCGATTGGTTCAATTGGTTCAAACGTGAAATTCCCCTGTTTTGAATATTTTCCACCTTTCTTCCACGCTTCGCCACGTTTGTTGCCGGTACATCGTATTTTGTAATAATTGTTGTATTTTGTAATACTTGTCGTATTTTGTAATAGTGTACCTGTCGTATTTTGTAATAAACCTTGTCGTATTTTGTGAAAACTGCAAAAAGAAGAAACAGGCATTTGATGTGTTATTACAAAATACAAGACTTCATTACAAAATACGACAGCTCAGTTTATTACAAAATACGACATAGATTTATTACAAAATACGACAGCTCTGTTATTACAAAATAGGCCTACGACAAGATTTGTTACAAAATACGACAGGTATGCCTATTACAAAATACAAGGTTTATTACAAAATACGGCAGGTTATTGTAAGATACGACAATTATTACAAAATACGACGTAACACATGTTCATAAACTATTCCGCGATCAAAGTGAGCCCGGGTACGGTACGTTCCACAACATTAGAACACACATTTTGGATCCTAAAGTTTTATTTTGCAACACATTAGTAATACAATTTCCATCTGATACAATTATATAGTTTATGTAGTTGTCTCAGGTTTCCATGCAGGTAATTTCGAAAAAAAAACCATGTGTTTGGGTATTTATATTTATTAATGTAGATAACCACTATCTCTCATGGAGCTCTATGCTTATCGTATCCTCAATCATGTTAGAACCCAAGTGGTTGCCACCATTAATTTGGATCTACGTGATGTCATTTTATACCGTTTCTAAAAGAAATTGTAGGAAGCACATATGAAATACACAGTAATCAATCATTTCAAATATTTGGAATTTAATCTTTTTTTATTAAAAGAGTTAAAAGAGTTTTTACAATCTAAACTATACATATATTACAACACACGAAATAGTCCTACTTTTGTTAGAGCCACTGCAATGTTGAAGACTATCGAAAACAGTCCACCACCGGCATAACAAAGTAGGCCTACTACCCTACATAATGCACTCATTTAGTACAATACGGTTTTTGCTAATAATCATGATAAAACCACTCTCAATTTGTGGAGCATTAATAGTAATCCTGTTTCATGCTCCATAAGGAACCAAAACAAATTTCATTGCATTTGTATTTTGTACATGTTAAATACAAGTTATTGAGTATTGAGCCAGTGGCTATGAGCTCTCACTGGCTAAACCCAGGAGCCCGGAGCGTAAGGGGGCCCCAGCAAATTCTTATATAATTTTTATTTTTAAAATCTTAGTTCAAATTAACTAATTAGGTCAGTTTTGGGTCAAATCACGATACATAAAAATAAACGATACATTAAAATACATAATTGAACGTTAAAAACCCCTGCCCAGGGGCTCCAGTCCCTTCGGTATGCCACTATATTGGGCACATCACCAATATCAACTAAGAACATCAAAGAACATAAAAATAATAGCAGAAATGACATCTATCATCTAAGTAAAATAGCCTACTACAGTATCACTGAGATAACAAATAGACATAACCTGCCCCTTGTACCGGTATATTGTGGCTTAGACTAGGCACTTACTGCGCCCGACGGCCGCAACGCTATTCTATGGAAAACGCAACGCCACGACGCGTGCGCAACGGATCGTTTTTAATGACGATCCCTTCAAACTGCCACCTACAATCAGCAGACGGCATCGTGTCGCCTAGCGCTCACCTGAACGGAATTTGATTCGTCGTAGGATCGACGGTCGTACGACCGTCAAACGAAGCAGTGAGTTTTCGGCTTAAGGTGTTGCTATAATGTATGCCATGGAAATTACGTTCTGATTAGTCAGCTGTTAAATTTGATTGACACTTCGGAAATGTCTGTTATTAGAATACAAGTGGTATATGTGACTGAATTCACCACCATGCTGTTGTTGACTGAAGCAAAGTGTTTGGTTCGATGTGCCCACAATCTTAAAGTTTCTATTCTTCAAGAGAGTTCTATTCTTTATCTCTATCCACACCATCAAATTGGATTGGTGTGATGTGCCCATATCATCGCATATTATATTACATCCAAATGTAAGCATATCACATTGATTATCAACATACAATTGAATCGTGTTGACAGAACGTTATAGCTTTGTACGTTTACTTGGTTTACTGCAGTCATTTAAATAAATTTCAAAGAATTATAATCTGATAAATAATTATATTCCTGGTGTATTATTTATATTTTTACATTATCAAAGTATGCAAACAATCGCTGTGGAATTTCAGTGAAGCCTAAAGGTACACTCTGATATATCAATCGAAGAATGTGCTTCTGATCTCTGTCTTTGGTTTGAACCTGGACGTACACACCCACTCTCGTCTCTACACACAGCCAAGACAACCAGTGACTGAAGTCAGCATGGCCAGACCATAAACATACCGCCACTCTTTCCATGTAAGCTTGAAGCTTCTTTTATGTTAAAGCGTATGCCTGTTGTCTGCACTAACTGATGTCAATGAAACTATGTCAATGAAACTGATTGCTTCATCGTACAGCATTCTAGTAGTGTGGCTATCCGTCAGCGAATCCAGATTCCAAAACCAAGGAGGGGATTCGTATTTTATAAATATTTTAGTGACAAACTCCCAATGTGTCTAATATTCATACGGTGGTTCCCTCTAACCGTTGGTTTCAGCCAGGTTTTGTGGACGGTCATGTCTTTGCCGGAACAATACAAGGCCTATTGTCGAGCAATTCCAGACTGTTCAAGACTGTAATCTGACTGTTCTTGTCTAGCCCACCGACAAACGCATGTCATACGGTGGCAGTATTTGACAATTCCGCTTGACAACGGCGTATATTTTCCTAGATACTCTCGTCCACTCACCTCAACGCCATGTAGGTCCTACCACCAAAAGCCTGGCTAGCTCTCTCTGGTGGCCCACCTGGAGGGTGAAAAAGACTAGCGTAATTTGGATCCTCCTCGGCAATTCTATAGTTCTGATAGAGGTTGTGACCATGGGGCCTGCGGTAGTAACTATTCAGACTGTGTGATACATGCGTATCTTCGTAACTAAGATACCTCGTACTCGTCGAGCTGGGTAGCGTATCGCTCAAGATATACCTGTTACTTTGCTTACTGTCAATACTCTCTCTGCTAGAGCAGCTACCACTGTGGTAGGCTTCGTCTTGTCCAGGAGTTGTGCGCACTGCATACGCGCCTTGTAGTACCTCGCTGGTTTGTTCAAATGATGGCAAATGTGAATTGTGATCTCTTGAACCAGTGCTGTTAAAGCGAACTCCTATTTGAGAACTGTAGTTACGTAGAGGAGTGTATTTTCGCAGAAAGTACCGTATTTGCTTGTAGAAAAACAAAATTAGAATGGTGCACATTATTGCAGTCAGGAAAAATGTTACGACGACACTTGCAACTATAGGAGCAGAGCTAAGTTGGCACGAATCCATTGGATTCGAAGAATTGTTATTATCACCAATTGGGATATCTGGTCGTTTCGTTGAAATTGGAATGTCAAATTCCGGTATGTTTGGAAAATTTAATAGTTTTGTTCTGTCTTGCCACGTGACAATACCATTATCAAATGGCGTGATGTGTACTCCCGGTACATCATGTGATTCTATTTTAATCGTGGGCCTAGGTGCAGCTGTTATCAGTGTCGGTTTTGCTGTTGTGCCTTTTGGTGGTGGAGCACGGAGCTGAAGTCTTACCTCGGTTTGAGCTTCACCAGCAGGATTTGTGCCGCGGCACATATAGGAGCCTGCATCCGTTGGAACGGTTTTAGCGATGTGAAGTGACCCAAACTGCGATACGCTATACTTAACGCTTTTCGTCTGCCTTGTAACTAGTGACCTAAAGCGATCATGGAGTCTCCATGTTATTATGGGCATTGGGTTTCCACTACCATGACAATGGAGGATGGCGGGTTGACCAAGTGCAACAGTCACGACGGGTTGTGTTACCACGACCTTCGGCTTATTACACACAAGCTGTGAATCTAAAACGCTGGTCAACTTTCGTCCGTGCAAAGCCATCGGAGAGGTACAGATTGGAACCTCAAACCCTGGTACCGCTTGAGATATGTAGAAATGACGCAGACTTTGTAGTCGGCAATCACAGTTCAGTAGATTGTTACGAAGATCAATTCGTGTTAATTGAGGCATAGATGCGATATTCGCCGAATCAAATGTTGTGAGTTTATTCGTACGTAATCCTATACTAGTCATGGCTGTGTTTCCTCGGAGACTAGGTAATTCTCGAAGCACGTTACTGTCAAGTCGAAGAACTTGAAGTTTTGTCATGGAGCTCAAGTCATTACTGATAGAAGGGAGTTGGTTATTATTCAAAAGAAGCCGTTCCAGTAGAATCATATGACTGATGCTTTGCTCGGGTAGGTAGGTTAACAGATTGAAGCCTAAATCTAACTCAAGCAAGCCGGCGATTCCAGTAAATGCGTTCGATTGGATGGAGGCTATTCTGTTCCGTCCGAATTTCAACTCACGAAGCCTCACGTTAGTAGAGAACGTATTATTTCGGATAACGGTTATTTGATTGTCTGTAAGATCCAGATCTGATAGGGATCTCATTCCGTTGATATTTGGTATACTTGTGAAACGATTGCCTTCTACTTCCAAGTCTGCCAATGACAAAAGACTAGTGAATACTCTAGACGTTGTAGGAAGGTTCAGGACATTTTCACTTAGAGACAAACGAACTAAGTTCGGCACGGAATGAAAAACGTTTTCCGGAAGATTCTGTAAACGATTAGCATTTAGATTAATCTCTTTCAATCGAGTCAGTCCAGCGAATGCATCTGCGGAAATTGTAACGATTGCATTGCCTTCCAGGTGCAATACTTCGAGATTTGGCATCGCTTGAAACACTTTACTTGTCAATGAAGTGATACGATTGAAACTCAACCAGAGTATTTTAAGTTTATTAAGACCAGAGAAACCTCCCGGGTTTATGGACGATATTTGATTACTACTTAGATCAAGCTGTTGAAGATTTGGATAGTTGATGAAACTCCTCGATGTTAAATGCGTCAATGCGTTGTTTTTTAGATCTATCGTCAGAAGCAATCGTCGGTTTACGTTCGGTATACAATTCAGCAGTAAACTCGCGCATTCTAATCTGCGTGTATCAGGAACGTATACACACGGATTAGTTCGACAGAACACCGCACTGCACAAAGATGTTAGCAAACTTGTCGAGAGAAAAATAAATAATCCAGCTTGCGTCTTCGACATCGTTACGATTCCTGTTAAAAAGAAACAGGAAAAATTAGTTTCAGATTTTCATACAATCCATTACAACTATTATGAGCATTATGATAAACTAGCAAAATTACAATAGACGCTAACATAAAAGATAAAATGTCAAGCTTATAGAAGATTTACTTGAGTATGTGGATATTGAAAACCAAACCGGTGCAATTATAAGTATTGATTTCAGTAAAAAGCTTTTGACACTGTAAATAGAGATTTTCTTATTAATACACTTTATCATTTCAATTTCGGGGCATTTTTTATAAAATGGGTGAACGTTCTGTATTGTAGCACTGAGTGCATTGTAACGAATAATGGTTGGTGCTCAAAGAGGTTTAGTATGCACAGGTGTATTAGACAAAGTTGCCCTTTGTCTGTTCTCCTCTTCATCATGGTAGCCGAAGTCATGTCGTTAAAAATAAGAAATGATGTAACGATAAAAGGTATTGTGCTACCAAATACGAGCAATTGCGATAGTGAAGTAAAAATAGCGCAATTAGCTAATGATACAGTTTTATTTATTAAAGATGAGAAAAGTATAAAAAAAAGTTTAGATAAAATAGTTAATTTTGGAAAGATTTCTGGTCTTCAATTAAATAAAAAAAAAAAAGACAAACAACATGTGGTTAGGCCAATGGAAATTGAGAAAATGTAGTTTCACAGTTCTTGGTATATTTGTTTGCCATGACAAATCTATATGTAATAAAAAAAAAATTGGTATGAAAAAATCGAGTCCTTAAAACATATTCTTATTTATGGCGTAAAAGGAATTTAACTTTATTTGGAAAGGTCATAATTTTACAACAATTAGCGTTAGCAAAGCTGGTATACAATTCTAGTATTTTAGAAACCCCCGAATCTGTCTTAAAACAAGTTGACAATATTGTTTATGACTTCTTGTGGGATAAAAAAAAAACGGAAAAAATAAAAAGATTAACTTCCATAAACAAATGTGAACATGGTGGTATAAAAGCACCCGACTTCAGATCTCAAGTGCAATCATTCAACATATCATGAGCTAGACATCCTTTCAATGATGAAACGTCTAAGTGGAAATTAATGCCATCTATGTATTTTAACAGAATTGACCCGCAATATGTTATTGAAAATATGTCACACTTAAATGTAAAAAAATATGAAGGTATTCCTAGTTTTTATATAGGTATATTAAAGGCGTTAACTAGTTTTAACGAAATCATAATGAAATACCCAACATGCTACAATGAAATACTCGAACAAAACATTTGGGGAAATAAATTGATAACTTACAATGGTCTATCACTATTGTATAGAAACTGGGTAAGGTCAGGTATAAGAAAAATCAAAGATATTGTGCTTGAAAATAGATTTATTCAATCGAACGAATTATTAGAAAATATCTACATTTTGTGTTACACAGTTTTGTAACAAGCAAAGGTTTTTCTTGTTCTGCATTCTCATTTTGTGAAAAATCACATCTTTCCATTCATGTGGAATGGCCTTTAACTCAATATGATATTCTGATATCCAATTTGATTTAGGCTATGTTCTCACACGGCAGCTAACGGTTAGCAGGATCCGGATCCTGCTAACCGTTAGCTGCCACGAGTCCGTGCGAGAAAATCCCGATCCGGATACCAACAATATGATGATCGAATCACTGGCCAATAAGAAACTGGAAATTGTAAACGCGTACGTGTGATTGGTTGATGATAGAAACGCCCTCAACTTGCTAACCGATAGCGCTTGCTAACCGTTAGGGTATCCGGATACCGCTAACGATTAGCGCTAACCTATCGTTCTCACGCAGGTGCTAACGGTTAGCGCTAACGGTTAGCTCCCGATCCGGATACTAGGGCTCTCGTGAGAACCAGGCTTTAGTTAGCTGCCGTGCGTCCATACGAGAAAATCCCGATCCGGATACTGAAAATATGATGATCGAATCACTGGCCAATAAGAAACTAGAAATTGTAAACGCGTACGTGTGATTGGTAGATGATAAAAACGCGCTCAACTTGATAACCGATAGCGGTATCCGGATAATGCTAACGGTTAGCGCTAACCGATCGGGCGTTCTCACGCAGGTGCTAACGGTTAGCTCCCAATCCGGATCCAGGGGCCGGATTTATCAAATTATAAATCAGCTGAAATTCATCTTAAGTCCATTTTTTTGCTTAAGTCAAATTTATCAATATTGCTTTAACTTAAAAATTGCTTAAATTTAAAAAGTCGATTGTACGTATGGACCATCTTAGACGATTTTTAAGCTAAGATTTTGCTAAGATTGTTTGATAATTCAGCTTAAGATATTTGCTTAGGGACATCTAAACTTTGTTGACTTAAGATATTTGCTAAGCTGAGATTGATAAATTCCGGGCCAGGCTTATGTATATGGAAAATTCTAAACTCAAACACATGCTTAAAATGCAATCTTGTTGAGGATGATGATGCACATTTATTTTATGAATGTGCAGAAGCCAGTAATCTATGGCATTACATTAACGAACTTACTCAAAGAACTACAATATTGACGCAAACTTTAAAAACATAGTACCGGTACTTGGTAATACGTATGTAGACAATTTGTTTTCATTAGGTTTATTTTGCATATAAAAAGCAAATGTGTTAAAACAAATTAATAAACAGAAATTTACCTCAGTCTATCAACTGTTTATTGTTGAAAAAAGTATAAGAAAGTGCATTAAATAGGCCTATACCAAAATACTATATGTAAAAATGTACTTGACCAACCTCAATATGTACAGTGTAATGCATTTTTTTTAATCGATCGGTTAACTTTACACATGGATTTACAGTGATTTGTTTTAAATTTGTTTTTAATTTATTTTAAATGTCTTTTTAACGCATTGAACGATCTACATGGGTACTATTTATTAATTTTAGATCCAATGAATAGCTCATAGAAAAGCTAATTTGAATGATCGACCGATTGATTATTAATTGATTGATTGATCGATCGATAAGTGCTGTATTTATATTGTATATTACAATTTTATCACATTTGTTTTCTGCAAAGTATAATAGTTTTACCCATTATGAGAAACTGATACAGTATGCAGTAGCTGTTTATGCCAGATATGAATTGTGAATAAAAGTGGGACGACCCCACAAAAGATAAAAAAAAAACACATAAAAGATAAAATAATGTCACGATTAACACAGTTAGAATGTATCGTTGTTATTATAACAGGCTGAATATGCTATCTGTTGTTCCCTTGGCGCGGCTTAACGTGAAATTTAGAGTCATTATTTTTTTATTAGTATCAAGCAATAAAGGATTAGTTTACCCATAATTTTCATTTTATTTTAAATTACTTGCTTTTATATGTCAATGGTCATGCATTTTTATAGCGCCTCCCATAATAAAACCGTCTCAGGGCGCTTTAAACCACTAAGAAACTACAAAAAAAAAAAAAAATGAATTGAACGAGTGCGAACGCAAAACGGAGGTGGAAAGGGCACACCCTGGACTTCGAGTTGGCGTCGCCATCACAACTTTGTACACGCAGGTAACTCAATGTCAGTATATTTGGGTTTGTAGTTTCCACCAAGGATAATCCTGCGGCTCTACTACCGTACACTGCTAAGCTGGCAGCGCCCATTTCAAGTATGGACTGGAGGTTCGACTTGTCAGAGGAAAAACTTAGCTACTGAAAATATATGTAAATTTGAACTAACCGAATATATCTCTCAAATTTGAATTTTAAGGTAAAGTTATGTTGGTTAAAAATCTACAGATGGCCTACAGCCTCAAATTTCTATAAAATCTGAAAACGTTTGGCATACTTTCTAATTGGATACATAAATTTCTATGGATTCAAATGGATTGCAGCGTTGAAAATAGAAAAAATATTAAGTGATTCTAATTTTAAAAACTCGTTGAACTTAATTATTAGAAATCTACAACGAATATGGAAGGTTCCTGGGTTTGCGGCTTAGCTGCTTCTCAATATGATGCAGAATAAAATCTGCCATAAATTATTTGGATGCACTATAAAATAATTCTGCTGAGATGCTACATGTTATTATACTGTAAATGCTGAGTTATGATCGAAGTTAATTAAGTAAACATTTCTACCAGTAGGTGTCTGGTAATTGCATAGTATATATACTGTCTCTTATACACATCTAGATGTGTATAAGAGACAGGATAAAAGGTATTGTGCTACCAAATACGAGCAATTGCGATAGTGAAGTAAAAATAGCGCAATTAGCTAATGATACAGTTTTATTTATTAAAGATGAGAAAAGTATAAAAAAAAGTTTAGATAAAATAGTTAATTTTGGAAAGATTTCTGGTCTTCAATTAAATAAAAAAAAAAAAGACAAACAACATGTGGTTAGGCCAATGGAAATTGAGAAAATGTAGTTTCACAGTTCTTGGTATATTTGTTTGCCATGACAAATCTATATGTAATAAAAAAAAAATTGGTATGAAAAAATCGAGTCCTTAAAACATATTCTTATTTATGGCGTAAAAGGAATTTAACTTTATTTGGAAAGGTCATAATTTTACAGACCCCATTACACGATTCAAATAGTGAATAGCAAATCAATGTTTTAACTGGACACAGTTCTAATAATAATAAACATAATGATAATAATAGTTGTCGTCAAACAGCTCTGTTTGATGGGGTGAGGGAAGGCAGATCAATTGCCGCAATGGCCGCACCACCCTGGTCAGCTTAAGGGGAAGACACTGGCCTCATGTTTCTATTGGTGAATATACAATTTCCTGCTGAACAGAATGCGATTAATAATAAAGGAATGATTGATTGAATTCACTAATCGTGGAAGTAAACTAACAATATTCTTGAGTATCACTTATTAGTTAATTTAGGCCTGTTTCCAAAGGCATCGCTCGTTTGGGGTAGAGATTAACGTGGAGCCACAGCCACCCACTTCGCTGACGCCGAATAAGTATTATTATATGATTTCGGTATAGTCTGTGGCATAGGCTAACAAATCTCAACTGATGGTATTTGGTTCTGAA